TGTTTGTAGATAATTTTTTGCCTATCATGAGAAGGGGCGCAGGAAAAAAATTGGAGGGGAATCCAAACTTGTAAGAACTTTATTTATTTATTGAGACAAAGTTCATGCATGCTTTAGATATGACATTTTTACATTTTTAAGTTGGAAGTGTATTTTTGAGCTAGTCTCTGCTTATGGTCGAGGATCCATAGCTTAACAAATATCGTGTCATTTTGAACTTACTTCTAGTTTTTCTTATACACATTCGCATGGTCTATTATCATAACTTTATTATATGAAAATGGAAATAGGTGAAAAAAGCAAAGGGTTACTTTCTACCATAAAAGCATTTAATGTTGCTAGTTACTGGACTTACGATGAATTTCCTACCTCTACATCTTTGCTCCTGTATTTCAAAATGTGTATTCGAAAGAGTGGCTACCAAAATTTCCAGAAACTTACTTAATTCAAGACCATCTATTAAGGATGGCTACATTTGTGTATTCTATGTGTTTAACTTAACCTTCCTTTGGGCTGCTGAGAAATGTATGCATGTGTTTTTGTAATGTTCTTTCTAGATACTCTTTTTAGAAGCATTCCTAATATATGGAAACTCAACGATTAACTGAGAAAACCTTACCAAGCTATTGAATTTAACCTAGGCTAAATGGTTGTTCAAATATCTTTCTCAGCAAGAGAACAATACTGAAGAAGCGTCATGTGAGCCATACAGGTAACTGTAACTAAAAAGCTAAGCACAGAACATATTTTAGCACACATGAAAAGTACTTTTGCCTACGAAGAGAAACTGAGTTTCGATGAACCTTCGGAGATAAGATTGTTGGGGAGTTTTCATTTCGTATGAAAGTGCATGAAGAAGAGATTCGTAGGTCGATCTCACCAGAACAGGATGGATGAATCCCGTTGTACTGCAGCCATTTGGCTTTTATAAGACGTTCAGGGTGACGTAGTCCACGAGACCTCCTCCCTCGTTTCGGGTGAAAACGGGTCTCCTTCTTGTAAAATTCTCACGTAAACACTAGGCCAAGAAGACTATCCGGCTCTATTCTACCTCTTATATAGACTCAATTAAGCAAAATACAATTAAAAACCAAGATAGATACAGAGTGGTTTGGCTAATTATCTTAAATACGAGTCCTGCTACAATTGCGCGAGTGTATATGCGTGTGTGCATGTGTGTGTGTTAGCGTCTATACGCAATGCCGGTCATAAATCAGAGTTATCAAAAGGCTAATGTCAAGCTCTGATCATCAAGCCTAATGACCCAACAGAAAACCCTGATCGAGACTGCGTAAGGCCATAAGCAAGTACCGTTGAGATAATGAAATATGAGCTTGTAAGCATGTAAGTCAAGTAACGAAACCACTTGTCCTAACCTCTCAGTCTAGGGTCATTAACTCAAGGAAAGGCATGACTGGGGCTGCGTAATCTGACACGTCGGTTTGGTTGATGAGCTTAATCTAACATGTTGAACGAGTGTAAGTGAAGTTAGAACAATCACCGAGCCTTGTCTTGGATAGCGGCTCAACACCCTCTCTCTCCTTCAATCTATCAATCAAGAATACGTAGTTCTTACACAACTTTGTACCACGGTTCCTCACATTCGATGTATTTCCTAAGCTATTAATTTCAATAGCCTTTCCTATCTTTCTTTTAAAGGCAGACGTACCATTATCAGCAAACCTACTCGTTTGAGACCATTCTATTTCATGTCCAGTTTATACCATGTGTTTAGACACTTCTGACCGTTGGACCCAGCTTCCTTTACAAACATTTTTGTGTTCTCCCAATCTTTGTCAAATAGGTCGGCATGCTTTACCAACATAACATCGACCAATTGATCAAACAATCTTGTAGCAGCCGGATCTCGATAATGGGTCACATTTCTCTCTAAAAGATGGCATAACAAAAGAAAGTGTGAGGGTTTGTTTGAACACTGTTTTTATGCCCCACTTTCTTACTAATTCGCCTATTCTTTTTGAGAGAAGGCATGACGGCAGAATTAGCACATGGGTAAAGGTCTCTGTCTGTCTATCTTTGTCTAAATAGTCTCCATCATATGATGGACGAAAGCTCAGCCAGTTTTCACTCGAAAAGAGAAAGGAGGTCTCGTGGACTGCGTCAAACTGAACGTCGTATAAAAGCCAAATGACTGCAGTGCAACGGGATTCAGCCTTCTCTTCTGGTGTAATTGACATAAGAATCTCTTCTTCGTGCCCTTTCATAAGAAATGAAAGTCCTCCTAACAATACTTTTACCTATGCATTAGTCAATAAATAGTAAAGGCATGAAAGTCCTACAGAGTAATGTTGTATTATAAATAATATAAAGACTTAGCTTAATATTTGAGAAATTTTGGAAGGCTAAAAACTTACAAGGAAGGCTTGTGTAATTTTCTGTAATAGAGCGTCAGGACTCAAGGAACATTCTTGAAGGATCGAACAAAATGTTTCGAAGTTGATTAAGCTTCTTTTATCTATCAGGCAAAAATAAAAGCTAATGTATTTTTTTATTAAACCTCAATACCAGCAAAGAACTTTAAAACTCAGCACATCGGTAGTTCCCCATCTTTCTTAGCAGTATTTCCTTCTAATGATTGCCATTTTATTCTGTCTTATCAATTACTTTTCAGTGGGTCCTGATTAGACTATTTTTTGTATTTACCATTTTCTTCTAGTTAACTTTACTACTCATAAATGATATTTCCAAGTGGGCTAGTCAATTTTGAATATTTTATCTGGCTAGCCTATTTCGTCATCAGCTCATGTTCGTAAATAGTTGTTAAATTATATGAAGAGACTTCAATGAATTAAGCTTCCTCTTTATATGAGTATTTTACTTGCTGCTATGGTCCTTAGAATTGATGAGTGAGGTTTTGCGAATTTTTACTTTTTATTTATAAGGTTTATTATGCTCTTCCTTCTTTTCCACTCTAGAATATCTTAGCCAACAAGCACTATAAAACGGGCCTTATTTAATTGGTCTTAAGTGCTAGTCTAATTCTTAAAGCAAAGAATTACTTGATTTAAATGAGAAGCAATTAATATTGAATAATGCAGGAAAACTAACTATCTTGACAAGAAAATGCTTGTGTTTTTTCGTTCCTGAGGCTTTTTTGTTTTATTAATTTAGCTTTAATCTTTGTACTCTTTATTGCCAGTTTGCTAAAAGTGACATATTGCAACACAAGCATTCCCGTTAACATTTTCTCGGTAAATAATCATGATCTATTTATATTATCTACCTCCAAGCCATTTAGTACTTAGTCTACTTAGTCTAAATTAAAATAATTTTAAAACAGGTAATCTCAGATCTCAAAGATTTTAGCAGTGTTACCATTAAATCAAGACTGAAACTTTCTTCAAATTCACTTGAAAAATTTACTTCAAGAAGCATCACTATATATTTTCGCTTACCTTAAATATTAACTAATTCGTCTGTTTATTTGAGATCCTTGAACTATTGGACTTGCATTTAGAGTCAAGGATTGAATTTTTCATAATTATGTTATTTTACATCCTAAAAACAACCTTATTAATATGTGAATAGGGTATTGTGATGAGTTAACTTGATGATGAGTAATCCTGAGATGCATTGGATTCGATAGATCAATAGTACAGGGAGTAGCTCTACTAGAAGTGCGTATGAAAACAACCAGTTACCGGCCTTTTTATAATATAAAATGGATTAATCGCCTTATCTCATATATTTGACTAGTAAAAAGCCATGGCGTACAGCGCAAGCGATGTAACCCTATAAAATTGTAATTATCTTGAAATTGAAAAATCATGCTTAAATAAATTGCTTAAAATAATGCTTACTTTCAGTTTCTTCATCCGTTTCCATGAAGTCCTCTTCCCTGTAAGCTGCGAATATTTCCTCAATATCTCTCTTTGATGGAGATTGGCCATACATTTGCAGGGCAAAACCTATTGTGTCAAGAGGTATACATTCTTTGTTTCCTTCCCTCACGGAGTTAAAAATGTCTTTGCAAACTTCGACGATAAAGGAAAACATAAAATATATGTCAGTAAACTTGGCCTATTCAATTAACATTTTCGGCCATCACTTAACATTGTAGATACAAAGAGAAACTGGGTTTCGATGAATCTCCTGAATGACATTGTTGGGGAGACTTTTATTTCGTATTAAAATGCATGAATAAGAGATTCTTTGGCCTATCTCAACAGAAGAGGACGGATTAATCCCGTTGTACTGCAGCCGTTTGGCTTTTATAAGATGTTCAAGTTGACTTAACATCACCCATGATGGTCTATCAAAGAAGTATAAACCCAATCCAGTAAATCGAGAAAGAGGTCTTAAGCATTTTATCCTTCCATAAAATCCTGAATAGGCGTAATCCTACGTATTCCATCTTGCTTCGGAAAATAGGACCTCACTGAGAACTCGTTAAAATTTATAATGAACTTTTTGCAGCAAATTTTTTCCAAAATTATTAACGATTTACTATCAAAAATGCTAGTGAATATCACCTGGGATAAAGCGTCCAAGCAGCCAAGAATCTTCTTATCTGTGATGAGGTTAGATCTATTGATAGGTTATAAAAAGCCGAGTGATTGATGAAGTATCTTCATCATATTTTACAATAATTAAATTAATCTATTAAATTTTGGTTTTCAAGAATGGACAAAATGAAGGAAATCGAACTCTCAATATTTCTTAAATTAGGTTTTAGCAACTCGTAAATATTTGATCCTATAGGGCAGTCATTTGAATTGATCTCAGGTTAAGAAACATTAACTACTTATTATACTTTGCCCCATAATTAGAATCGTATTATTTGCATCTTTAAGCCTTAATTTTTATCTGATATTTTTGTACCTTGCCAATCGTTTTATTTACAAGAATGAATGACCAGTGCTATACGTTCTTAAACGAATATGTAATCGCAAGGACCTTGACTTCAAGACTTAAGATGGATATGAAAAATAATGTTGGATATAGGTATTTATGTATTTATAAGCCCTTAGATCAGGTTCATTTATAACATTTTATTAGCAAACAAGTCAAGTAAGGCAAGCTATAAGTCTGGAAAAACAAGCAAGCATACTTTAAAATTGTCAAGATTACGCAGAACATAAGTAAAACAATAGCGAATTATTTTTTACTGGATACATTAATAGCCAGATAATATTTTTGTAACTAATCATTTGATAAAATACTTGGAAATCACTCTGGTGAGCAGACCGACTAGGTTTATATGATTATAATGTATTTTCACTATTAAAAGATAATAAACTACTTCTCAGCAATAATATATGTATGTATTATATTGTATGCTCAGTCGACAATGAAGCTGTCAATAAATAAATAACTTGGATCAAAATTTTTTTTCAAACTACTCATCATTTAAGAGGGCAGTGTATAAGTTTATTTTCCCTAGATGTAAAATCTTTATCCCCACCAAGGTTATTTTTGTAAGAAGAAAATCTTCATATGACAATCTTCTTCATAACTTATCCCACTTCGTGAAAGATCCACTCCCCAAATATAGCCTCTCCATATTCTACTTATCTGAGCAAATAACAAATAATATATGATGAAAATGATGAAATCCCATTGGAATTCATCGCATTCTATGTCCCGTTTTTAGCTTACTTTTATAGCTCATATTACACAATGATGACGAAAAGTAGAAAACTCAATCTACCTTTAACCTCAGCAGCTGACATATGCCTCAACTCCCCATCATTTTTGGCTTCATCGGCGCGAGTTATTGGCTCCTGTTCTAAACCTAATTTCAGCGATTCTTTTTCTCTGAACTCCTCTTCTGAACCCACTTGCTCCCTTTCGTAGACAAGCCCAGCATCAACATCTTCCTTCATTACGGCTGGAGAGCTTTCACACGAAACAAATAGTGTGAATTAGGGAAGGCTTACTAGACTCATTAAAAATAAAATAAAAATTATTGGTGAAGAATTATGCTATTATAATTAACTTTTAAACAGCCTTACCGACATTCTGTCAAGTCGATGAAATAATAAGTCTAAAACCTAATTATCGAGAAAACGAAGGGTCTATGTGCAATAATTAATGCAAAATTTAGTTATTAAGTACTGGACACTTTAGGAGAGATACTAAAACCTTTATCAGAATAGTATAATCACAACCCGACTAAAAAAACATGGTTAGGTGAGATTGGTGTGTGCTTATGAGGTTCGAACCTGTAATTACCACCAAAGTTCCCTCACTATTTACTCAACCACGATAATCCGATCTCTACCAAATGACAGGAGAGCATTTATATTAGAAATTATCCATTTGTTGATAAATGAAGTTCACAATTTTGGGATATAATGCTCTCTCCAAACCAGTGAGTTAACACCTGAGTCACGTAATCCTGTTATGAACATTTCTAAAGTAGTTGTAATGACTAGAGAGCCTAGTTAATAGTCGAAACAAAGTGAATAAATGTAC